GGTCGTGCTGTTCACGCGCGCACTTATGCGAACACCCCCCCGCGTGCCAACGCGCACGCACGAATGTGCATCCCCTCGCTCCGCCCGATGCCCGCGGCCATTAAACTCGCGCGCTCGGCCAATTTTGACCACCAGTTGGGCACAGATGCTGGCCCCTGGGCCGTGCGACATCGACGCCGCGCGGCGGCGGGTTATAAGGGTGCTTCATGAGTACGACCTCCTCGCAACGTGCTTGGCGCTGCAAGCGGGGGTGGCCGAGTTCGAGGCGTCGCCCGCGCAGGTGTCGGAGGCCGCGAGCCTCAGTGCACAGGAAGCGCGGCGGCCATTGAAGGAGTTCGTGGACCAGGCGGTGCCCGAAAAGCCGGTGCAGAAGTGGCTGAGGGCGTCCCGCGGCATCTTTGAGCTGGCCATGCTGGAGGATGACGTGGCGTTCCCCAGGATGGCTGCCAGCCCGTGCGACCGAGGCCCCACCGCCGCCGCGGGCCCGCGCGATGGCGGGGACCCGCCTCGCTCAGAAGTGCGGCGCGGTTTCTGTTGAGACCCGCCGCCGACCTGGAGGGGCAGGAATGGGCTCCGCGGGGGCCTCGAATGGCAGCGGTGTTCGGGAAGATCGGGGCGCCCTCGCTTGGGGCGGCGTGATCCCGCATGGACCCGGAGAGGGCGGAGGGTGGACGTCTGGTGCTTCGAGAGGAGGAATTGGAGGAGGACGAGGAGGAGGAGGAGGAGGAGGAGGAGGAGGAGGAGGAGGAGGAGGAGGAGGAGGAGGCAGTTGTGTCCGCATGACGAATCGAGGATGACCGATGCGGATGATAACGATGAGGAAGCACAGCTGGAGGAGGAGGTGTGGCACGATTATAAGGATCTGCAAGAGAAGATGCAGGAAGAGAGGCAAGCAGACACGCAGGATGATCGGGGGAACAGGAAAGGGATATGGAAAAGTACGTGGAGGAGGAGGAGGAGGACAAGGAGGAGGAGGAGGAGGAGGAGGAGGAAGAGGAGGACGAAAAGGAACAGGAAGAGGATGAGGAAGGATACGATGAGCAGGATATGAGGATGTAGTCAGGAGATGGAGGGGAAGGTAGAAGAGGACAGTTATGACGAGGTCCTCCTTCCCGACCAGTGTTGGACGTGCATCTCTCTGCCTGTATACGGGGGGACGCTCGCTTCCTCGCCGGACGAGACCTGAACACTGTCCCCGCACGGATCGTGAAGGGTCTTCCTTGGAACTCCTTATCTCCTGGGCTTCCGCGGGGGTCCATAGGTGCCACGGACGGGCCCGCCTCGAGAGCCATTGTCAGGACTGCGGGCAAGATGTATATCGATATCCGCTGCGCCTTGGAGTTTTGGGCACCCTTGTCCAGAAATCCGAAGCGCAGTGGATTTGGACAGAAACCTGCCCCTCTTGATGCTATATGGTTATCCATATCCACTGCGCCTCGGTCTTTTGGCGCCCTTTCCCGGAAAGTCCAAGACACAGTGGATATTAATATCAGAGTGAGGGGGCCGAACGGTCATTCATTGTTTCTGGGTGCGTGACTGAAGTGCGGATCCGTGGTGAGGATTCTGCTTGTTGATGTTGTTGTTGTTGTTGTTGTTGTTGTTGTTGAACATTATTAATTCTAAAGAATAATTATTGTTGGGGCCCCTGGTGCACGGCCCCCCTGCGCCGCCTAGGCCGCAGCTACATTTTCATCATTTTCGTGAGGAAGCCTCAGGTAATACGATGTCATCAAGATCCGGTTGTTTTGTTGTAATCCGTTTTCCCTTGCAAAAAACACTATAAAATGACATTTCTTGTTCTAATATAATCAAATTTCAAGAATCCCTTGCAAAAAATAAGGTAAAGTGGACATTCGCGCGCGCAAGACGAAATCCTTCCAAAAGCTTAGTGTTCGGAGCGATTTTAACATAAAAACATCAAAAAACCAATGGTTTTTCAACAAAAAAATGTCAAAATCTCATCCCGCGCGCTCTTGCGGATTCGTAGGAAACCCAACACTTTTTAAACATTTCTGTCAAACGGGCTTTTGCGAGCAACTTTTTCGAACTTCTGCGACAACGGTTGCGCACCTGCCAGGGCCATCATCCCTGTCAAATAATACCATGCGGGACACATTCGTTTTTTCTTCGCGCGCGCACGCCGTCGTCGTCGGCCGCGGGGCCCTGAATAGTAGCCACGGTCGTCCGCATGCCACGAAGTGAAGTGTCCGAACGTCATAGGGCGGGAAGCTGGGTGTGGGTGGTGGCGAAGAGTCGTTTGGAAATTTGGTAGAGCTTGAACCGGCCCCCCCACAAAGTGGGGGTATTGCCCGCCTCCTATGAAAACCCTGGCACTGGTGAGAACGGAGTGTCCCCAGTCTTAAATGATTGTTGTTGTTGTTGTTGTTGTTGTTGTTGTTGTTGTATTCTCACTTCTGAAGAATAATTATTGTTGATCCCCCCCACCGGTGCATATGGTTTTTTCTCAATCAAAGTGTGCCCCTCGACGCTCGCACCCTGTTTTTTGACAGGGAAAGTCTTGATGCTCAAACTGGGCCCCTGGCCCCCAGGTTAAAACAACAACGGCTCCCGCTTGAGATCTCCTTACAATTTAGCCAGGACCCCCGCTCCCGCCCGAGACTTCCTCGCATTTTATTCAGGAATCGCGCTCTCGCTTGGGACTTCCTTACAATTGATTCAGGAATCGCTCTCCCGGCGCTCTGGAGTCGCGCTCTCGCTGGAGACCTGCTTGCAACTTACTGAAGAATGTCCTTGCGTTGGAATTTCCTGCAATTTGCCTAAGCGCCGCGCTCCCGACACCCAGGCACCCAGGAGTCGCGCCCGTTGTGGCCCCATGCGCATGCCCTTCGTGGCCCCGCTGTCGCCATTTGTGTCCCCCTCACTGTCCTACGTGGCCCAGTTACTACCCTCAGTGGCCCCATAGTTGCCTTCTGTGGCCCCGCATTATCTGCACTTCGTGGCCCCCGCTCGTTCGCGCTCTTCGTGGCCCCATACGCATTCCCTTCGTGTCCCCGCTGTCGCCCTTCGTGGCCTACTTCGTGCCCTTCGTGGCCCTGCTGTCGTTCTCTCTCGCTCTCGCTTTCGTCGTCGTCGTCGCCGTCGTCTTCGACGTCGTCGTCGTCGTCGTCGTCGTCGTCGTCGTGGTCGGTCCCCTGTCCGTCCCTCTTGGGGTCGGGTCGATGGTCCGCGGCCGCCCCGCCGATCAGCGCTGCCGCTGGCCAGGCCGACGGTCCGCGGCCGCCCCGCCGCTTGCCGGGGCCCGGCCTGCAGGGAAGAAAGGTATACCCCCCAAAAGGGGTTCGATCGAAGACGAACAGGGCGGGTATCGAGGGTTTGGGAAATACGCGTTATTGGAAACTCGAGCATGTAAGGGCGAACAGTCTTAAAATTATTGTTGTTGTTGTTTTTGTCGTCGTCGTCGTCGTCGTCGTTGTCGTCGTCGTCGTCGTCCCCCCCGCGACCCGGCCCGCGACCCGCCCGCGACCCACCTCGCGACCCACCCGCGACCCACCCCGCGACCCAACCGCGACCCACCTGCGACCCACTCCGCGACCCGCTCGCGACCCGGCCCGCGACCCACCCGCGACCCACCGTCGACCCACCCGCGACCCACCTGCGATCCAACCCGCGACCCACCTATATTGCTTTAACAAAAAATCGGCGCCTGCGGCGGGCTCGTTGTATCGTTTGAAAATTTTTGCGCCTGCGGCAGGCTTCTTCAAAGCCTCGCAGACTGCCGACGTCCCCGCCGCCCCCTCACTCTTATCCGCAACTGCGGGGTGCTACCCAGACATGCGACGCCCTGATTTTTTCAGGACGGCGTCCCTGGAAGCCCCGACCCTTTCCTCGGGACCTGTTTGTCGTCCTGAGTCGTTTTTTGAAGGTCCCGAGGCCCGGCGAGGGCCTCCCGGGGCTGAAAACAGCAACAACAAATTGCCGTCCTGATTTTTGTTGACGACGCGATCATGTCTGCGTGCGTAATAAATCTTGCCCGCAAGGCCGCGCTGGGCACTAGGCCCGATCGGCCCGAGCGGGTTCCCAGGCCTCCGGTGTCGCGGGCGAAGCCGGTGTGGGCTTGCTCGCTCGGCGTCGGGAGCGGCTTCTACAGGGCCCGCCCCCGGGGGGGCCCGCGAGCAGAACGAGAGAGCGGCCCGCAGGGGGCAGTGCCGGTCCCCGGGATAGCGGCTGGAGCCTCAAGGCCCACCTCGTGAGGGAGCCTCGGCGTCGGAGGATGCCTGGGCGGTGGAGGCACTGACAGACAGGATCGCGTCGTCAAACAAAAAACAGGACGGCCAGTTTTCAGCTACTTTTGGCCCCGGGAGGCCCTCGCCAGGCCTCGGGACCGTCAAAAAACAATTCAGGACGAGAAGCCGGTCCCGAGGGAAGGGTCGGGGCTTCCAGGGACGCCGTCCTGAAAAAATCAGGACGTCGCATGTCTGGGCTCAGATTTTGTCCCAGCGCGCGTGCGAACAGCACGTGGGCGTCTGCAGCCAGATCGGCCCCCAACCGTTTGTTGGGCGCGCCGGCGCGGGCGCGGGCGCCGGTGCGCGCGCGGGCGCGCGCGATGGCAAGGGAGGAGCTGCGGCGCGGCCGCGGGCCGAACAGCACCCCCGCGCCAGGCGAGCGACAAAGCAAAGAAGGACCGACGGCACGGGCAATTGCGCGCAAGCTGCCCGCACGAGATCGCGCGTCGCCCGTGAGCACCCCGTCCCCAGAGATCCAGCATATTGACAGAATTCAGGACGGGGTCTTCTCGCCGTCTTCGGCCTCTAGACGTTTTTGCGCCGGGCCCCTGGGCCGTCGAACAGCAGCTCGGGAGGAGCAACCGGTCCAGGGGACTTCCAGGGGCCCTTCTTGAGAAAGTCATGGTATCGGATTTCTGGGTCCCGTGCTCCCACGCGTGGGTGCCGCACCAGCGGCCTGCGCGCGCCGCCGTGCGAGGTCGCCGCGCCGTCCCGCGCGGAACTGCCGGGGGGCCCTGCCCCCGCCTATCCGCCCAGGCAGCCTCGCCCGCCAGAGGGCCGGGCACGCCTCCCTGCCGGACCTGCGCAGCGGCAGGCCGGACCGGTCCAGCCGCGCCAAGCAGCCGCGCCCCGCGCGCACGCGCAGCCTCTGCGGCGCGGGCGCGGGCGGCGAGGGCCGCGCTGGCACCACGTCGCCGGGGCCGCGCGAGAAGCCCGCGGCGGCCCGGGCTGGCTCGCCCCTGGACGACCGGCCGGCAGGGGGCCTCGCGTCCCTGCAGGGCCCCGGCCAGCGCCCCGCATCCGTGCAGGGCCGCCCAGGCGTCGCGCAGGGCCCCGTCCAGCGCTTCCCCGCCGCGCCCATGCAGGACATCTCGGAGGAGCGCTGGGCAGAGGCCGAGGTGGCGCCGCCTTGGGCGGCCCCAGGCAGGCGGAGCTCAGAGAGGGCCGTAATGCCCGGCGTCTTCTCCGAGCAGCTGCAGATGCTCATTGTCGACCACGGGCCCCTGCGCCTGGCGCGGCAGGACTCGGTTGGCTCGAGCAGCACGCGCAAGAGGCTGGCTCGTGTTGGCAGCGCCGCGGCGCTTGACCAGTCACGCCCTGCGACTTGCCACCTGCCGTGGGACTTCACGCGGACGAGCTGGGCGGCCACATGGGACCTCGACATGCCGCGGTCGCAGGGGCACTCGCGCGGGGCACCGCGCCTCGCCAGGTTTCGTGCAGCTGGTCCCGCCACCGCGCCAGCAGGCGCCATGAGGGACTCCAGGAGCCCCGGAAGCTTGCTGGAGCAGCCGCGCCTGCGGCAGCTGCCCCGCTCGAACGGCACCGTGGGCTCGCAGACTTGGCAGCCGGGCGCGCTGCTGGGCAACCTGGACACCTACTTCTCCATGCGCGGGCCTCTGCCGGCCTTCCACGGCGGCAGCGGGGACCTCGGCGAGCCGCCCGCGGGCGAGTCGCCGGCGCACGAGGCCGCGCGCGGCTCGCGGACGCCCGGCGCCACGTGGCGCTCCGCCACTCTCCGGGCGGTGCCCACGGCCGACGCTGAGGACCTGCTGCAGGCCCAGCTGCGCGAGGCGGACAGCGGCGGCCCCGAGGGGCCGGGCCCCGCGGCGGACACGGCGGGCGCGGCGCAGCCCAGCCGCGGCAGCGTGCGGCGGCGCCACGGGTCCCGCGCGGACGCGGCCGCGCGCGGCAGCCGCGGCAGCGTGCGGCAGCCGGGCCTGCCGGGGCTCCCCGGCCGCGCGAGCTGCGGGTCGCTGCCGAGGCCGCTGGCGCTGGGCGCCCGCCGCGAGAGCGAGGCCGGCGGGTCTGCGACGGCGAAGAGCAGGAGGTCGGCCGAGGGGACTCCGACCGTCGCCTTCCACCTCGAGGAGGAGCGGGTCGGGCAGCAAGTGGCGCCCGCGAAGGCGCGAAGTCCTTCGCGCTTCGCGCTGCTGCACCTTCTCCTCTTCCTCCTTCTCCTCCTCCTCCTCCTCCTCCTCCTCCTCCTCCTCCTCCTCTTCCCGCCTGGCGGGCGGCGCGAGGGCGCGATGCTCTTCGCGCTCTGCGCAGCGCGAAGCTCGAAGTGTTGGGCGCCCATCGACGGGGGGCGGAGATGTGGGGGCGGGGTGCCACGAGATCTGTTGCAGGTGCACCTTGGGTTTGCCGCCGGGCGCTTCCCTCGGTACACACTGGGGCCTCTGGCGCCGGGAGGCGCCCGAGGAGCCGGCTTCGTGCGTGAGTCGACGAGACGTACTTAAGAGTGACTTTTCGCCGGAGTGACCTTTGGTACGGGCACAGATGGGTCCTCAGATGGCTGAAAACGAAGCGGTAGCAGCGGCTTGCGCGCCCAGGTTTGGTCTCCCCGCGGCCCCAAAAAAGCCGCGCACCAAAGGTCACCTCTTACCCAGGGTCATTATTGCGTGTAGCCGATTGAGCTGATTTGCCAACCCACTTCCGCCCGCCCCGAGAGGGGGAAGATGAGGACAGCGACGAGGACGCCGACGAGGACGGCTTGCCAAACCTCGAGCTTAAGTGGCGCAGAGTGCAAAGCACCTGCCTGGACGGCGGCTACTTTACCGAATTCGAGATCAAATCGCTGCGCGTAGCGTACAGGCGTTTCCTGAAGTACGGCTGCTCCGAGATGCACAAGGACGACCTACATTTGTTGGTCCGGCACCTCGGGTACATCGTGCTCTCGCCAGCAGTCGTGTCGGATCTAGCGACCGAGATCACCCCATACAGCGACCTTGACTTTGACGACGTAGTCCGTTTCGTCGAGAAGTACGCCCGCCAGGAGTGCGCCAGTTTCCGCGAGATCTTTGACACATACGACAGAGACAAAAGCGGAGCCATCTCGACTCTAGAGCTTAGGTCCCTCATGGCAGACTTGGGCTTTAACCCTTCAAAACGGCTCGTCTCTGAGGCTTCCCGGCATCTTGGACACACGGAGGACGGCGAATTGACGTTCCGTGAGTTGTTACATTTCTTCACCGTTTACCGGCACACGTATGGCTTCTGCAAGTCCGAGATCAGGGAGTTGAGGGACACTTTCGAATCGTTCATTGAGGAGCGAAACGACAGTTCTGGCATGCCACTCCTTTCGGTTGCGAGGGCTCTGGTCCAGGCGTTCGGGCTGCAGTTCGAGGAGACGGCGGTCACGATCACCAACCACGTGCTGACGAGGAGCACTGAGGGCGACACACACGAGGACGTACTAAGGACGAGGAGCACTGAGGACGAACTCGTCAACTTCGAAGAGTTCCTCGCCTTTGC